TTTCTTTATTGGGTAGAAGATAGCTAAATTATAATCATTTAACTCTTTGAACCTTCGTTTATATCCTGTGAAATAAGGAGCTAAAGGTGATGATTTATTAAGTTTTAAAGCTCTGAAATTCCATGCTCATCTCATCAACTACAAATGAATATGTATTTCTGTAGTAACTGGTGATACTTAAACATGGACTTTCCTCTATTTTGAATTTTTTCTCAAAATTATTTAGCAAACTTTTTTGAAGATACCATAAAGGTTAATTTCACTATTAACAGTTATCTAAATAACACAGCATATTGGGAGGTAACGTGCAAAACATGGATTAATTTGAAGAATGCAAACACTTTGATTTCATCTTATTACTTCCTTTCACTTTTCAAGTTTAGATAAACTTATCTATTACTAAAGAATTGTTTGTTTCTTGAAAAATTCTTCACATGTTGTCATACTGACACAATTAAAAATGTCTTGAAAGACTTAGGGTTTTAAAAACACAGAATCATAAAATTGATTATGCCTTAAATAGGCTGAAATGGTATTTCTAAAACTTAACTGAAAATCTTGCATAACTCAGAGACCATGTTTTTCTTCAACTAGTGATTTAAAAGGGAAATAACGTAGAAATTTCTTACATTTCCTAATATCGTGCTTCATTGATTAGATTACAAATAATCTTAAAACACAAGTATTTTTGAAATTGAAACTATAAAAGAGCATTAGACAACCAATATAATAGACACCAAAACTGAAAAAGCTGAAAGTTGGACTCTGATGGGCTGGTAATTTTTACAGGTGTCTTGTTATAAAGTGCTTTCCAAATGTTTGCTCACACCACATATCACAAGAATGGTGGGAAGGAGCAAGTGTGCAACCTTCTCAAATGGCTTTGAATGTTTCCTGGGTCACTTCAAATGTATTTTGAGTCAAAATGACTTTTTTTTATATAAACCCACACTACTGCAGGGGTCTGGATTTTGTTCTGATGTCAAAAATATATTTAAGTTAATTTATAATCAGATTTCAAAGCCAACCTAAGCTAAAAAGCAGTATATTCATAAAGTTCATAAATTACCTATTTAATGCTAGGAAAAAACACAAATAATAAATAAAGCTATAATGCAGGGTCAACTGAATAGTAAGAATACCCTGATGTGCAACATTCAATTATTTTTCTCTTTGTGGATCATATCGGAACAAACATTCTCAAAAGGAAATATCAGCACTTAGTTATCCATACCATTTCAAAGACAGGGCACTCAAAAGTCTCCAGAATATATCCTGATCACCTATTTACCGGCTACAATGGAAAACTCAGGAAACACAAGATTCTGTCTTTATCTTCAAGATGTCCACTGTTGCCCCAAGATCCCTCTGTTATTTGAAAGTGGCCTCCTATCTCTCTGTCCATGAAACAGAGTCAATAAACTAGAAGGCCTCGGATATCACTGCTTCCTCTCTTTTCTCTTTTTTCTCTCCAAATCATGCTGAATGACACTATTTTATTTTTTTAAAAAAGCCTTCCATTCTTAAAAAAAATCATATCGCCAAATGGACCAGCAGCATGATTTAATTTTATCCTAATGAATTCCACATGAAATATTACTACAGGGAACATTATGAATTTGGTATCATGAGGTATATATTTTTGTCTTAGGGTGAGTGAAGTAAATCCACATCAGTTTTGGGCTGAATATTTTGTATTGCGTGTTAGTAAAGCATTTATAGGTAACTCAATATTTTTCCCAAAGCACATTTTAAAAGACTTATGGTATAATTAAAACAAAAATCACTTAGTCTTTCTATTCATAAAAATACCATTTGAAAAATCTACTGATCCACAAATTAAGGCTCTCATGCTTTATACTGCAAAGCAATTAAACAAAATCTTATATAGAGAAAACAGAAAGAGCATCAATAAAACTAAATGCCAAACTACATTGAAACAAAAGCCCTGAATTTTCATTTTGGATTTTTCCCAGAAGCTTTTAAGTAGAAGAGAAAGGGGGGAAAATGAGCAAGAGAAAGACAGTACATTAAGAATTACAGATCACAGAGTCTGCCTGAAATTCTGCAGGGAAATGAGAGTATGATATCCTCCTAAATTGGCACTGTTTCAAATTGTGTTTCTGCAAGACTAATGAAATGAGAAGTGTTGTTTCAAGCTTCATGCCATGTCAGACAATATAAAACTAACATGCCCTTGAGTTAATCAGAACGGTCTATTCAGCGTAATTCTCCAATCCAAAGGCTTCTTAGCAGGATGGAAAGTGCTTTGCACTTTGTAGAACTTATTTTCTAGTTAAAAGTATAGACTGAACTGTAGAAGAAGCAGTAGCTCTGGTGGATATGTATTATATATAGTTATTATTTTTAATCTACATATGAAACTTTGTATTTAAATTGTGAAATTTTTAAATAAACATCCAGTATATCCTCATTTTCAATATGAAAATGTATGAATTATGTTTATTGAAAAGGTTGTATTTTACACTTTTGTTCTGAATTATTTATTTTAATATACTTTGAAATAAGTTCAACTTCAATTACATTTAGTGAACATATTTAACAAAAAAACCCATAAATAAATATACATTTTTGAACATAGCTTATTAAAGTTTGTTGGGAGAGGGGTAGCTTTCTTTATTGGGTAGAAGATAGCTAAATTATAATCATTTAACTCTTTGAACCTTCGTTTATATCCTGTGAAATAAGGAGCTAAAGGTGATGATTTATTAAGTTTTAAAGCTCTGAAATTCCATGCTCATCTCATCAACTACAAATGAATATGTATTTCTGTAGTAACTGGTGATACTTAAAAATGGACTTTCCTCTATTTTGAATTTTTTCTCAAAATTATTTAGCAAACTTTTTTGAAGATACCATAAAGGTTAATTTCACTATTAACAGTTATCTAAATAACACAGCATATTGGGAGGTAACGTGCAAAACATGGATTAATTTGAAGAATGCAAACACTTTGATTTCATCTTATTACTTCCTTTCACTTTTCAAGTTTAGATAAACTTATCTATTACTAAAGAATTGTTTGTTTCTTGAAAAATTCTTCACATGTTGTCATACTGACACAATTAAAAATGTCTTGAAAGACTTAGGGTTTTAAAAACACAGAATCATAAAATTGATTATGCCTTAAATAGGCTGAAATGGTATTTCTAAAACTTAACTGAAAATCTTGCATAACTCAGAGACCATGTTTTTCTTCAACTAGTGATTTAAAAGGGAAATAACGTAGAAATTTCTTACATTTCCTAATATCGTGCTTCATTAATTAGATTACAAATAATCTTAAAACACAAGTATTTTTGAAATTGAAACTATAAAAGAGCATTAGACAACCAATATAATAGACACCAAAACTGAAAAAGCTGAAAGTTGGACTCTGATGGGCTGGTAATTTTTACAGGTGTCTTGTTATAAAGTGCTTTCCAAATGTTTGCTCACACCACATATCACAAGAATGGTGGGAAGGAGCAAGTGTGCAACCTTCTCAAATGGCTTTGAATGTTTCCTGGGTCACTTCAAATGTATTTTGAGTCAAAATATGTGTGTGTCTGTGTGTATGTGTGTACATGCATGTGCATGTATGTGTTTGGATAAAATATTTCTGTTCTTTGGAATTGGTTTATAAATTCTATTCTGTACTCAGAGATATTCAATTACCAAACTAGATCTAAAATATTAAAAATTCTTAGAAACAGTCATAACTTTAAATATTTTATGTTTTGAAAAATGCATAATGTCTTCCTGAAAAAATCAATGCAAATTCTTATAATTTATTTATGTGTGATAAGAGAAAGTATACATTTGATATCAAAAGTGCACTTGCAGAACTAAATGCCAGACTCGTCTGTGAGGTAAGTTTGTACTCACTTATTGGAAGGGATATTGAGTGGACAGGCACAGGGCTGACAGTCTTCAGAGGTTCCTTTTGTTGGATCGCCATAGAAACCAGGAAGACATTTATTGCAATATGGGCCACCTGTGTGATCCTTACAGTTCTGAGGAAGAAATGCACATCAGACTTTATTATTTCGGTCTCACGCATCAACATGTTGCCAAAAATAGGTTTACAAAGTCATTAGTTTGTTCTCTTCCAGGAAGAATAATTTTTCCACATTAAATGGTCATTTTTACAGCAGGGAAATAGCATTGAAAGTTAATTTAATATCTCGCTTACATACTACATGCTAGTTTTAGCACATGCATATGTACAACAAAAAGATCACTGGTATTTATTACAATTTTTTTCATTATGCAAATCTTACTTTCTTCTTTAGGTTTTATTTTTTAAGAAAATACATATGATTGCATGCGTGTGTTTGTGTGTGTGTGTGTGTGTGTATGTGTAGTCATAGAACCCTAATAACATGTTCAATAGAAATTGTAACTGATTCTAGGTAAAAATCAATTGTTAAGCTTAACATTGCTGATTTAATGAGAACAGGGGCTAATCATACAAATTCTCTGGGACTGTATTCTCTTAGCTGAGACATTAATTTTGACCTTAGTGGACTCTGATGATTTGGACAATGAACTACCGTATTACCTCTGTGAAGAGCTTTGCTTGGCTCACAATTAAACATTGAGAAAATTGAAAAAAATTTGAACTTATAGTCATATATAATGAAGCCACAAGGCACATATTACAATAATAACAATTTCCCTCAGATATTTTTAAAAGAAAGCTGAAATTGCATTTTTCTGCCAATTAGTATTTTAAACCCCAGGTCTTTTTCAAAAACAAAAAAAAATCAATATAAAATAATTTATGTCTTGATTTCTTCAAATTAATTAAAGTACATTCCTCAACTCAGGCTGTGTTTGCAAAACTCATCAAGACTGGTATAAAGGTGAAAAATTCAATCAAGTGGTAGAATTATCTCTAAGCTTCAAATAGCACAATTTGATAAATTTTTATGATGTTTTGGCATCATGTAGACATAACTTCGGTCTCCAACAGTACAATAAAGTGTATCTAATTCTTATTAAAAATTATACAGTATGGATTTATTGTTACTGATATACATTTTTAATTTAATAAGTATATGCAAGTATAATTTTTCCCCATGTTAAAAAGAGTTCATTAGAGTTCAGGGGTGCACAACCTTTATTTTTATGATCCATAACCAAATTTGTGAAGGAAATAGCTAAGTTATATATTAACTTCAATCATAGGGTAAAAATGTTTTAATCTGGATGACCAGTGGAATGGTCAGACTAAGTTAATGAAAGTTCTGAATTATTTATTTTAATATA